CTACTCAGCAGTAGCCTTGGGTGGGGCTGAAAGGGGGATCAGGAACCAAGAGAGTTACTGGGAACTGGTTCCCTGGGAGACAATATGTCTGCCTGTGGTTGCTTTCAGAGTGCAACCCACAGACCTCCCATCAAAATATAATATCTTTTGGTAAAGGCAGAAGTAAAAATACACATTAAAGACTCTGCTATTTGGAATCCCTTTGTTATCCATTTGCCCTCTTTGTCCACTGGGAATGGTGTTTTTCTGGCTCTTCTTTTGTGTGATGTAAATGAAAATGCTTCTGGTAATATCTCGCCAAAGACTGGATGTTTTGCCCTGTGCCTGCACAGCCAGGTCACTTTTTTGTTCCTCTGTAACTTATTCTTTGCCTCATTCTTTGTTCTCTTCTCAGTTTTCCACCAGCTTTCCCACCTTTTTGTGTAGCTTCCTGAATCCAGACCTGTCTTCCTGCTCTTCCTATCTTTTCGACCTCTGCATTTTCCTGAGTCTTCCAAGCTACTTGTTCAAAAAGTACCTGCTTTGACCCCATATTTCTTTACCTATTTGATTTTTACACCCTGTTGGGTAGTAAGAAACTTCTCAGGTACACCTTGGTTATTAGGGGCTCTCTCTGAGTCTCTTCTTCTTCCTCCTCCAACTTTTAAGTAGGAAACAGTTATGTGTTCAACTTTAAATCTCTACTTCTTTCCAAGACATGAATCATGCTAAACTAATATTGGGTAGAATGATTCTAATGTACCACTAAAATTTGTCAATTCTTGTCATTTATTCTGTCAATATATTTAGTATAGAATATATGTTCTTCTCTATACACAGGCAGAGAGAGACTTCCAAATTGCATTTCTTTGAAAAGCTCCTTTCCCAAACCAGCCCAGATATCTTTAGGTTTTCGTACACTTTGCACATATTTGAAGAAATCATTAAACTCTTTTCCCTCAAAAGAACCAATAAATTCCAATAAAAACTCAAATCCCATTCAAATGTTCTTTCTAATATTCTTTCTTCGTTCTTCACTCCAACCTCTTATACACAGAATCCCCATACTCATTTCTCTCTCATCTTACTGGTCCTGGCACATAAAACTATCTGTAATACCTGAGGCATGTTAAAACCTGCCTATTTATCATTGCCTTCTCCTGACCCACTGCTGGATTTTCTGTTAGTGTTGTCCTCTGGTGAAATCTCTCATTCCTGAAGATAGTGGGCTACAATAAACTCACAATTAACTCATATCATGCCCCAGACCACAAACTTGCAATCACTTACGAGGGCTCTGAACAGCTGAGGCTCAAGTTGAATAAATGTTGATGACTCAAGGAGGAAATTTATCATCTTTTCTACCCAGGAAGGGAAGGCCTGAGTAGCATCAGAAATCCAGGCAATGGTCTTTGAGGTTCTGAGAGGTAGGAAAGCCCAAAGAGTAGGGGTGTGAACGTGCTCCATAAGTGGCATTGGGCAACAGGGCTTCCCTGAGTTCCTCCATGAAGAGGCAGCATAAAGATGAGGAAGGGCCTGTTGGCAGTGTAAGCCAAGCCTTGCAGCCATGGTGTGAATATGCTTCTTCTGAAACTCTGGGCCTTTAAGGGGTGATTGGGCCAGCAAGGGCTCATCTTTCATCACTGGGACTAAGGGTTTTATAAAAGATGTTTTTTTTTTTACAAATAGATCACAAATGTATGAACAAAAAAATCAGGTAATATCTTTAACTATCAGGAAAATATAAATAAAAACTACTTCAATATTTCATCCTACCCTAGTCAGAATGGCAGTAGATAGATAGATCATAAAAACTAGTAAGGAGAAGGGAAAGGAATCTTTATTCACTGTTGGTGGGCCTGTACACTAGTTCAGTGTGTTACTTTTCTATTGCTATGACAAAATGCCATGACCAAGGTAAGTTAAAAGAAAATATTTAAGTGGGCTCATAGAGTTGGGGTTAGAGGCCATGATGATGAAATAAAGGTACACTGAGAATTCACATCCTGATCCATAACCACTAGTCAGGGAGAAAAAACTAGAAGTTCCCTGAGTGTTTTAAAACCTCAAAGTTCTGTGACACATCTCTTTTAAAAAGCCACACCTCCTAATCCTTCCCAAACAGTTCTACCAAGTATTCAAATATACGAGCCTATGAGGGCCATAATCATTTAAACCACCACATTTGACCATCGTGGAAAACAATGTAGCAGTTCCTTGAAGAAGTAAAACTAGAACTTCCATATGATCCAGTTATACCACTTCTGCATATTCACTTGAAGGAAATGAAGTTAAAAAACAAACAAACAAACCTAAGGTACTTATAATCAGTGTTTATCACAACACTCTTTACAGTAGCCAAAATGCAGACTCAGCCTAGGCGTCCATCAACTAATGAAGCGATAAAGAAAATGTGGTATATACAAACAAAGAAGTCTTCTTTAGTCATAACAAGAATGAATCATGTCATTTGCAAGGAAATGAACAGAACTGGAGGACATCATGCTAAAGAAAATAAGGCACACAAAATAAGGACGCAAAAATGAATAGCACGTGTTTTCTCTCATGTGAGGAACCTGGAAGATGGAGATGGCTCAGGAGGTAATAATGACTGAGTCTGTCTCCTAGATCCCATTGTGGAAAGAGAAGACCAACTCCTGAAAGTTGTCCTGTGACCTCCACAGAGATGCTGTGGCATGCTCTCGCATGCTGACGAGTGTGGATGCCAATACTTACACACATATTATACACCCAAACATACACAACAGTAATAATATGTTGTAGTAGTTGAAGGAATCTGAAAGTATAAGAACTGCTAAGAAACGGGAAGGTGTGCTTTGAGGGAGTAAGAGAGAATAGACATAACCAAAGCATCATATATCTGTGTGAGGAAATGCCATAAATTCATATAATTAATATGTAATAAAAATAGAAGCCTTGTAAAATGTTTGGCTAGCTTGTCCTTTCGCTTTCTTGGTTTTTAAAAACCATTCTATTGATTCCTCATGAGTCTCACACCATGCACCCCAGTCCTGCTCATCTCCCTGTCCCCTCATATCCACTCTTTGCTCTTGCAACCTTCCCCCCAAAATAAAACACACAAGCAAACAAACAACAAAAAAGCATAGAAAACATTTCCTTGTGGAAACTGTAGTTTGACACAGTGCGTCCCACAGTATGTCCCTCTGTCCACACGTGTTCACTTGCAAATGTTCATTTCAATGAGTCATTGGTCTGGTTTGAGATCTCTGGCTTCTGTGACATGATCAATATTGGTTCTCATCTGGACTCCTTTTAGCTATCTTGTTGTTATGGAGATGTCCTATGTCATGAGATCCTGCAGCTTTGAAACAATAGGACTGGCTCTTTTACACATCCCAACCATCCACAGATGATACAGATTTTGGGGTGGGCCAATTCAGAGCCCTGGATCTGGGCCTGGGTGGTAGCTGAGCTGGTCAGCCTGCTGGCTCTCCCTTATCTGCACCACCACCAAGGCAAGCTCTCCAGGACTGTTCCAGCTAGGCCACCCAATGCTGCCATTGGCAGAAGGCAGAGTCAGCTCTACTGCTCTCATACCATTGTGACCAGCTCACCCACACCCACACCTCCAGAGCCAGCTTCAGTCAAGGTTTGGGGCCTGCTCTCCCAAATACTGTAGCCTGTGAGGGGCTGGGACAGCTCTCCAGCTCTCACACCCTCATGGCTGTTTCACCTGTGTCTTTGCCATCAGGGCCAGTTCCACTGTATTGCCCTCTTAAGGTGCAGGGCCTTCTCTCCTGAGTGCTACAGCCAGTGAAGCGGGCAGGGATAGCTCTCCTGCTCTTACAAACTCAGGGTCAGCTCTCCTGGCTATTGTAGGTGTCAAGGAAGGAGGTAGATGGCATCATCCCCATCCCCACACCACCTCACAGCAGACGAGTGGAGGGCTGGCTCACTTTCATCCCTTACTGTGCTGCCCAGGTGAGGGGCATAGCCCACTCTCCCGAGTGCTGCAGCTGGGGAGGGGCAGGGACGGCTCACTAACTCTCATGACTCCAAGGTCAGCTCTCCTGCTTGCCTCGGGTAGCAAGGGGAGCAAGGGGCGAGGGGGCAGGAGGGCATTCCCCTCACCCCCAGACAAGTTGTGGGCTAACACTTCTGGCTTCTCATCCTTGGGGTCAGCTCATTCGCACCTCCTCCACCAAGGTCAGCTCTGCTGTGTTGCTCAAATGAGGTGCACGGCCAAGTGCAGCTGGTGAAGGGCACGCGGGCGTAGCTCTTCCAAGCTCATGACCCTGAGGATAGCTTTCCAGACTGCTTGAGGTGATGAGTAGTAGAAGGGCATCTGTGCCTGTGCCACCCCATGACAGACAAGTAGCAGGGTCAGTTCTCCCATACTCGTGCCTTTGCAGCTGGCTCACCAATACCTGTGCCACCAGAACCAGCTCCACTGGGCTGCCTGGGTGAGGCACAGGGCCTGTTCTCCCAAAGGATGACACCCACTGGTGAGAGATGAGGCCAGCTTTCCCATGTCCCACATCCAGTGAGGGGTAGGGCCAGTTATGCACAGCCTGCAGGCATCCATGTGGTCCCTGGCAATTGACCAGGATGGTCCCTGGATCCTGACCAGGATATCCCATGTTCTCTTGTGATAACATAACCTGGGACATCAACACTGACTATTGCTGCTGTATAGCTACAGACCTAGACACAGTCCCTTGGTCTAGGATCTTTCCATGACCCCAGGTGGCAGGGCTAGCACTCACGACACTCCATCCTGGAGTCTCCAGTTCCATCTCTCTTCATAATGCTCAAGCTGCTCCATTTCTTTCTCCCCCATCTGACCACCACAAACTCACACATTGGTATGACTCCTGCTACGGGCTGGCCATGAAGCTGGCTGTCCCCTGGGCAACATCCTCCATCTGTGCTGCATGGCATAGCAGCACAGTACATGGTGGCTTGCATGGCAATCTGCAGGTCTCTGTCTGTCTTCCTCCTCCTATGCTGTGCTGCCTGGATTTGATTTGATTTCATTTTTATGAGTCCTAGGTATCAGACAGCTTTGGCTATCAAGCCAAGCATCAAGCTAGGAACAACAAAGGACTGCCATCTACTCCACCCCTGACTGACAAAAGAACAACACTACCAACAAGGTATCTCTTTGTCCATTGCTGGACTTGGGGTTGGGAGGAGGCTTTCTATCATGAGAAGACACGATGTTTCTCCTTTCTAGAGGACATAGCATTGAGGAACTATCTTGGAGGTAAGCAGTAACCCTCACTAGACAACCGCCTCCACTAGAGCCTCGGTCTTAGACTTCATAGCCTTCAGAATTGTTGGAAGATAAACTTTTGTTCTTAAAAATTACCTAATCCATGATATTCTGCTAGAGCAGTGCAAACAGACTAACTCACAGGCAAGCACAGGGTAGAACATGTTTCTTCCCGGAGTGGCTTGAACTTTAGTTTCAAATTATTGCATGATGAGTCTGGAGTCACTGATGTGAGCATATCTGCTCTTCCATTCTCCTGAAATCCTCCAGTGGCACTTTCAGTTGATTCCTCCCCCAAAAGGAAAGTAAGGTGATGATCATTTCAATATGCTCAATCTCCTTCACACCTAAGCAAGTCAATGCCTTGCTGTTGTCTCAATGGTTCCCATCCTTGGCTGCACAGCATAATCACCTAGGAAGCTTCCCACATTCCACCTCAGACCAGCTAACTCAGACCCTCTGGGGGCAGGAAAAAGATGACAAAATTTTCCTGAGTGGCTCCAAAATGCAGCCAAGGCTGAGAACTACTGACTTCATGGGTTTCTTTTTTAGCACCTCAACTTAGGTGAGGCTGCAATGCCTGCCAGGACTTTTCTTATCTTCACCCCAGCAAATTGGCTTTAATATCTCATTTCTGTGGTAGTCAGTCTTTCTGGTTTGTGTCATACTTTCTTTCTCTTTTAGTGCTGGGATTCGAACCCAGGGCCTTTCACATGCTAGGCAAGAATTCTTCCCTGCACCCACTGAGCTACACTTCACACCTTTGAACCCTGAGATTTTTGAGTTATGTGCTTGATGTGATTCAAATGCTTGTGTGAATAGTGATGAGCTGGCCATGAGTTCAGCACAACTGGCACCATTGATTTCTGTATGACCAAGAGGGGTGTCTCTAAACTGGCGCTAATACATACTGTTGAGTGATGGACTGTTTTCTGCCTTGCTGGGATTCCTCAGCTCTACTAAAGTCTTCTATATGCACTCAAGGTGAAATTCTTTTTTGCTCCAGTGAGCACTTCTTTCTTTGACATCAAGCTGACATTCTACTAAGCATTTGACCTATTTCTCTCACATAATTATCAGTTCTACCCATGGTATAGAATGACATTTGTTGATACCAATTTTTGATGTACTTACACACACACATACACACACACACACACACATATATATATGTATATGTATGCATATATTTGAAAAATCTTTTAAAGTACATATATGTATGATGTAATACAAGAATGAATGTGTCTATGTATACATATGTATCATATATTTATATGTATAAATGTATGGAGATGTATGTATATATGTATGTGTATATTTGAAAAATCTTTTTAAGTGCATATATGTATAAAGTATATGTAAGGTCATGAAGACCTTCAGGGTGAAATTGTTTATAACTATCTGTATTTTCTACAGAAACTACAAATTGTTGATAGGCAGTCTCCAAAATGGTCTCGAGTGTTACCTACCTCTTAGCATTCATGCCCTGGTGCCTTCCCTGTACCTTGAGGAAAGCTTACTGCCATGTTGTCATTAGCTGTGTGTGGAAATCCCCATGGCAAGGAACTAGAGGACCTCTGGCCACCAATCATCAAGGAACTGGGATGTCCAGTCCAATAGCCCACAAAGAACTGTCTCTTGGGCTTTCCCTAGACAGATCTTCACATGAGCCCACAGGCCTAGCTGAGGTCTCGGTCATAGTCTAATGAGATAGCTCAAGCCTACCACTGTGCACCTGACCCACAGAAACCAGGAAAGACCTGTGTGCTGCTTCAAGCTACTTATCTTTTGCTTAGTTTGCATTCAGACATAGAGACCAACCCACATATATAATGGTGTTTCAGAAATTACATTTTTAAAACTCTTAGAGACACATTTGCCAACACACTCATCATTAACTTCTTAGGCTCTACGTCCCTTTCCTTTGCCTAGTCCTTTCTTCCTGATGTTGCCCAGACTGGTCAGATCCAAACACCTAGGATCATCAGTTGCCCACATACCCACTCCCACCATCTCTCTAGGCTTCTGTTTCTATTTATTCCTGAAAAGGAGTTAGGACAAAAATACCAAGGACTTACTCAGTCACTATACATTAATCCCCTGGTCCTCGGAAAGACTCCTCTCTTGTGTCTCTCATTGGTCTCTCTCTCATTTCAGAAACAGGCTGCAAGAGCGTGACATTGAAGCTCAGCATTTAAGCTCACTGTCTCCTCTTACAGAGCTCCTAATCTTTGTTCCCAGCATCCACACTGTGGCTCATAAGCATCTGTAACTGTAGTCCCAGGTGACCCAATGACCTCTTCTAGCCTCTGTGCACATGCTGATACACAGATGTATACAGGCAAAACATCTGTGTGTGTAAAAATGAATGGATGATGTTCACATTCTGGAGAAAGAAAATATGAGAAAAAACTAACCTGAGGAGCCGTGGAGAAAAAAAATAAGACCAGGAATTCAGTATTCATATTTGTCCTTGGTATCATGGCTAGGGAGCTACTTGGCCATTAGTTCACCTCCTTCAGGCAATGCTACAATAGAAAGAAATAACAAATTCAACCCCCACTCCCCCACACACACAAGAGAGGAAGGGAGAAGAGCAGAGAGAAGAAACAAGAAGAGGGAGACAGAGAGGCAGGGAGAGGGAGAGACAGAGAGAGAGAGAACTCCTGGAGATATACTGGCCTCAAAACTCTACAATGTAGCTCATCTTGGTCTTAAGCTCTTAGTCCTCTGGCTCAGGCTCTCAAATACTGAAATTACAGGAATTTACCACCAGGCCCAGAGAAAGAAGAATTGGTCTAAAACATAACCACAAGCAAACAACCACATCCCGCAGGATCTTTCCCAGAAGTTCTGGATTTGAAAAAATTCTTGTTTGTAGCTTAGACTCTGAGCGATACGCAGTTGTGCTGCAGACAGAGGCCAGGAAGAGCGTCTAATCTTCTTTAAAGGCAGCTTTCCATCTTCAGAGACTCCCCCCCCCCCCACCTAGCTGACTAGGCATAATGAGAAATTGGAATGATTCTTCAGGAGTCCAAACCCACTGAATGTGCTGGGAGTGTGCTTCTGTAATCATTAGTGGAGTTAGGCATGCCGAGAGGAAGAGATCAAATAAACACCTCCAGCTTCCATTCCGATCTCCCAGAAAAGCAACCTTGTCAGGCACCTTATTAGGGAGTGACAAAAAGCTCAGAACGCTCCTGTACCTCTGAGGTCACAACCAGTCTGATTTTCCCACTTAGTGTGACTCACTGAGTTGGCCCAAGACAAGACCACTATACTTTGAGGGAGATGGAACAGTAAATGTTCACACAGATCTGAGGGAGCTGAGCAGTTAGAGGGTCATAATCCTTGCAGAAACATATTTCAGGCTAGGCTCACTTTTGATCAAGCTCCTTGGATAGTCTGAAGATAGACTTCAATAAATGCTGCTCAGGAAGACATCTAGTCAGTTTCTGGCTCCTCCTACAGCAATCCTTTTGCTCTTGGCAAGGTTTTATTTCCCAGAGAGGCTGCAATTACATGAACAGTGCAGTAATAATAATAGCTGGGCACACCATCTATGTGTTAGCTTTTCATCAATGTGATGAAATACCCGAAAAAGATGGCTTAAAGAAAGAAAAGCTTTATTTCAGCATGGCCCCATAATTTTCAGCCTACCCTCTCTTGGCTTTATAACTGCAGGCTAGTGCTGAGGCCAAACATCATGGTTATTCACCCCAGAGTGGCCAGGGAGCCGGATGGAGGCAGGCTGACTAAGATTTGGAGGAAGAGGGAGAAGGGAAGAGAAGAACAGAGGAGGGGACAGGGTGAGCTGGAACACCCTTCCAAGCCATGCCCCCAATGCCACCAGCAACCTTCCAATAATACCGGTAGTTTCTACCAGTTCCCAATAACCTTATCAGATTATGGATCCACTGATGGAGTAATCCATAGATGAAGGTTCAGTCACTTGCCCAAACCTTACCTCTGAACTGGGGACTGTTTGTTTAAGATTTAAAAATTATTTAGTTTATTGATATTTTTATTTTTTTTATAATTTATTTATGTTATATCCCTATTGTAGCCCCTTCCCTTGTCTCCTCCCAGTTCCACTCTCACTGCCTCTTTCCCCCTATCCCTAGTTCTCAGAAAGGGAGAGCTTTTCTCCCTTACCAACTGACCCCAGACTATCAAATCTCTTTAGGACTGCCTGCATCCTCTTACTCTGTGCCCTGGGAAGGCTTCCTCACCCAGGGAAAGTGATCAAAGAGCAGGCAACAGAGTTCATGTCAGAGACAGCCCCTGCTCCCCTTACTAGGGAACCCACATGGAGACTGAGCTGCCTATTGGCTACATCTAAGCAGGGGGTCTAGGTCCTCTCCATGCATGGTCTTTGGTTGGTACATAAGTCTCCGCAGGGCCCCCTGAGCCCAGATTTGTTGCTCTGTTGGTCTGCTTGTGGAGCTCCTGTCCCCTCTCGGTCCTTTCATCCCCCAACTCTTCCATAAGACTTCCTGTGCTCTGCCCAAAATTTGGTTGTGAGTCTCAGCATCTGCTTTGATCCCCTGCTGGGTTGAGTCTCTTGTATGGCATCTTTCAGAGGACATCTATGGTAGGCTTTCATCCTGTTTGCCCTCTTCAACTGCTTCCGGTATCTATTCTATTTGCCCTTCAGAATGAGAATTAAGCAGATTCCGTAGGGTCCTCCTTGTTATTTAGCTTCTTTAGGTCTGTGGATTTTAGTAAGGTTATACTGTATTATCTGGCTAATATCCGCTTTTAACTGAGTATATACTATGTGTGTCTTTCTGGTTCTAGGTTACCTCACATAGGATGATCTTTTCTAGTTCTAGCAAATTTCATGATTTCCTTGTTTTTAATAGCTGAGTAGTATTCCATTATATAGATGTACCACAATTCCTGTA